AAATAAAATTGTCTTTTTACCCTTTTTTTTTATTTTTAAGAACTCTACTAAAATGACAAGAATAAATGGGAACATTCACTTGCTTTTTAAACTGATCACACTTGGGTCTAACCACTAGCAGAAAAGAAACTTTACAGTTCCCTGGGAACCTATAATTTGGAAACGGAAGCACACAAGAGCAGACTTTAGTTTTCAGGCAATAAATTGAAGAGAATTCTGCAGACATACAACAGAAAAGGAGCATAAAATATTGGCTTGTGCACTTCTTAGAATGTTAGTTCATTAACTTGATAAGCTACACAGGGAAAAATGCAGCCAAAATCTACAAAGATGTCCACTGGGATTTCAAATTGGCATATTTACTCAGCAAGAAATAGCTAAAGGTTAGAGGAAAAAAATGCATCCAGTTCTGGTAATGACGATTTAGTGTGAATCTTCGTAAAAACACCTTGTTGAAAAATCTCCATGTGGACTCTAAGGGGACACACAGAAGCCCAAAGCCCCAGGAACAGACATAAATATCATGACATAAATATCATGCTCCATAATCTGTGTCCTGGAAAAAAGTTCTATGAAATTATACAAGAAAATCACAATATTTCACATTTACTTTTCACACATAATTCAACATAAACTTGAAAAATGTTTTAATTTTTCTTCCTTATTGCCCAAAATGTTTTTAATGCTTTATTGGAAACTTTCATTTAGTGGTGTGTGCTCTAGGTCTGTATTACTCATCAGTATAGAAGAGTTAAGAAGGGTTTGTTGGGCTATACTTCCAATGGGCACTGTATTCTATGAATAGAAGTTCATCAGCAGTCTCTCTGGGAGAAAACTCTAGTAACTGCATTCTATGTAGGTCAATTACTGTGCTAGGCTCTTTCATAAACTTCACCATATTTGACCCACACAATGAGGTACAAATTGTAATCCCTACTTACAGATAAAAATGGAGATGGTCAGAGAGGTTCCCTGTCTTACTCAGGGAGATAATTAGTCCTGAACTAACAATAACAGGACCAGTATTTGAACACTGGAGAGTTCAACTCCGTTGTTCTTTATCTTTCCCTTCTTGTTCTCCTTGCCAGGCTCCAAAAAACTGATTCAAGAAGTTAAACCAAGAGCATTCTCCATTCCTATAGACTGTGGGTATTTCCTCCAAGAAACAATAATTCAAGGTATTTCAGACAAAAAAAAAAAGGACTCAAGAGAAGCCCACTACACTGCCATCTGTCTTCAGTGGGTCAAGTTGAGCCAGCGAGGGTGTGTTCCTAGTCTCTTTACTTACAGTATATGAACCCAGTGGGAACAGAAAGTCAAGCTGTGTAATGGAGGCTACAAGCCAGTGGTCAATTCACTTGCACAGGTGCTTAATTAGACCCACAGAGTGATTAAAACATTGCACTATTTTTTAAATCTACAGCCTTCACATAAAGATTTATATTTTATGGCTATCAGAAGGGCCCTTCACCCTAGGTCCACCTTTATGGCCACATTCAGCCAAAACTTAGTGTTCCCTATTCCATTCCATGAGGGGTGGACTCAATGTCCCAGAGTTCCCACTACTCTCTACTACATCCATACACTCAGGCCACTGAAGCTGTAATTTTTCATTACATTTATGTTATTGGTTTTCTTATGAAAGAACCATTTCAGCAAACCTTGTCTCTTTTCACAGACTGGAAGGTCGCACTACCCCTTCACAACATTCTCTTTACGGGTAAGTGCGCTTCCCCAGTCTTTGGTCTCCAACTTTCAAACCAACTGGTTGAATCTCTTCAATCTCTCTTTGGAACATGATCCAAAAACCATTACTGTTGCAGGCAGTACTCTATCTGAAAGTTTTCTGGATATAAGATCTATTTGGTTGTTTGGAATCATGAAGTCAGGGTGTCCAATCATCACAAAATGCTGGCGTAGAAAAAAACAATTTTGTAGGTACCAATTGCATAACCACCAACTAATCAACCAACCAACCAACCAACAAACCAGCTTCCAGGTGAATGAAACTTAAAGGGCTTAACAGGCTAATGTATAAACAAGAAGCACTTACAACAACAGCAGTATTAAAAAATCGAGTGCCCCCAGAAAGGAAAGTTCTGCCTTCAGAAGGCAGTAATTACTGCATCTGAGCACATCTGCTTAACAATCCAGGAAAGTGGGAGTTTCGTTCTCTATTAACCTTAACCAGAGACATTTTCGTCAAAATTAATCGTGATTACTTTTTATTGCATTTCAAATGCTATCCTTTATTTGGGGTGGTCAGGAATGCAACTAAGCAATTCCAGACCATGCTATCTTTTATGAATAGGACTATGAGGTAGTTACCAAGGCCCCTTATGAAAATATTGCTATACAAAAGTTCATGGGTCAAAATGAGACTTTAATTTTCATAACTGGATATGTTCTTAGAAAGGAAAAAATTACTATATATAGAAAATACAAAAACTTTTATGCTAAATGCATATCAGAGTAGAATTATATAAGTACCCATGGGTATCATAGACAATATTTAAATAATTTTTTACCTTTCCTTGTAATTATAATAACAATTAATCATTAGTAGTTATTTTGAACATAGCTTGTGCCAAGTACAATCCTAAGTTTTCTATATGCACTGACACTTTAATCCTCACAACTCCAGAGTAGATGTAATTATTATTCCCATTTTACAGAGGAGGAAATTAGTCCTAGGGAAGTTAAGCAACCTGCCCAAACGCATTCAGCTAGTAAACTCTGAAGCCTGGACTGAATGGCATTCTAGCTCCACAGTCAGTTAATAAAATAGAACAACAACACTTACCTCACCATCCCAATGATCACCTGGTCCATTGTATTTTGTGCCAGCTGTATCTTGCTCTGTGCAGTCTCTATACCTTTGCTAACAGTTCTCCTGCCTGAAGGGCCTTCCCTACTGCTCTGTCCCTCCCATGTCAAACTCATTCAGCCCCAATTCCACCTGTGCCATGAAGACTTTCTGACACTCCAAAGTTTTCTTGCCTTCCCCTCTTAATTCTCCAGAATCCTTACCATATCCACAATCTACCCCACCTGACACTGGTGTGAAAAAAAAAATCAGAGGTCGTTTTACCTGCCCAGCACCCTCTCTGGCAACAGGACTCTCTTTCTTGTGGGGAATCACCTGTCCCTACTCTTAGCCCATGGGCTTCAAGTAAGCTAACGCCTGTCTTCGAGGTTCCAGGTGATCACATGACCTGATCCTAGCCTGGCCAATTCATGAATTTTTTTAGCCTTTGAACTTTTTCTAGAACTACTGAGAACTCACTGTTCTCCTTCCTCTGGGGTGACTGCGCTCACAAAATCTAAGATGGCCGCTGGTGGCTGCTGTTAGCATCGCTGTGCAAAGCCTTCCTGGGAATCAAGGCAACAAAAAGCAAAGCACCTCCTATAGGTCAGATAGAGACAGATTCCTGATGCCATAGTTTGAACACCCAAAGGTAATCATGTCAGAAGACCACCCCTAGCCTTTTCAGTTAATTGAACCAACAGGTTCCCTTTATTCTTTCATTCAGACTGAGTTGTGTTCCTGTCACGTGCAGCTACGAGCCCAGTCAACATGAGAGTTAAACAGCTGCTGTAAAGAGCACAGTACTCAGCATATTAAAAAAAGTTTAATAAAAGGTACATACTACTATTACTATTTCTCTACATGAGTTTCTTTAAGACAGAAGACCTGGAATCAGATCTATCTCTACTCGAGATGTCACTTCATTACTTTTTTTAGACTACTTTTACCATATGTAAAATCACAAATATTTATGTGAGGAATAAATGAGAGGATATGCCTGCTAAAGTAATAAAATGTTCTTCAAATTTAAATCAATTGTTATCTCAAACTATAGGCTCTGATTGAACATCTCATGTGACTGATGGTGAAACTAAGACCCAAAACCCTGGGATGTAATTTTTCAAGAACATTAAGGAAGCTGTGGGTTTAAATAAGCTACCAGTCCATGCTAACTAAGGTGGTCCCAGGACTGAACAAAGGAGCTGATCCTAATATTGTGCTATCCAAACCAGGCATTAGTGCAAAGAGGCTTGACTGACAACATCAGAGCAGTCCAGGACACACAGAAGAAAGAAACTACTACTAATGTGCCATGCTCTGTGCAAGACATTTCCTTAAATTGCCTGCTCCGGAATTTGTTTCTCTTTTGTTCCATTAAAAAGATGAACTATGAGTACATATTAAAATTATCTAACTTCTTCTATCTCCAAGGAGGAAACCTAATATATGAGTATAACTGGGGAAAGACACTAATTAATAAGCAAAATTTAAAATGAACTTCGTCCAACTTGAACTGCTGTGTTTGAAGGCATACTGGAATAAATAAAGAAACTTGAAAGCAAATGCCGTGTTTTAGCTCAAATGTTTTATTGAGAAATGGAGAGAGTTCCTCTGCCTAAAATAGGAAGGGTTAATGAGAAAAAATGGTATTTTCAGTTGGTCCATAGGTTTCTGAGAGGCATCAGTTCAAAAATAACTATATTCCACAGAGAAGACAGAATAATGATCTGTCTCAGAGCCTCAGAGTTTTAAGCAAAACAAAACCAGTTTTGTAAACTGTCTGAGATCAACTTAATGCATCCTTTCCCAAATAGCTTCTGTGATAATATGCACACATTTTCCTTCTACTAAAACCAAAGCAACTTCAATATAATTCTAAAAGGAAGACATTTGTATGTTTTAAGCTTCTTGCCAACTATATAAACACAGCTCTTAAGGTAAGGTATAGGAACCAAGACACTATGTGAAGTATTAGTGGGCTCTACCATAATCAGCTTTCCTTGGATACTATTTTGAAAACGATGCTTCATACTACAAAAGACTGACTGGGCTCCCTGGGAGTACATTATGAATATTGGATTCAGAGCAAGAGCAAGTCCTCCATTTCTGTGCACATTTTACCACAGGAGTACATTTTATAGAGAGTAAGTCTCTGATTATCTGGGGATTAAGAGGAGAATCTGGGGCTCACCTGCAAGTGCTGTGTGTTGTCAGCCATGCTGTCTTCTCGCCTGCGGACTTCTTCCAATAACTGGGCATTCTTCTTTTTTTCCAACTGTTGATTGTGCTTGAGGTTAGCCACCTTCTTATTCTGATCCTTCATATGCCTGAGAAAAGTAAGCATGGCTTGGTTAAATCCAACCACTGGAGGATCATATGTTATCACAATAGAAGTGCTAAGTATAGAATATATTATATGGGTTCAGAAAAAGTGGCAATTTCAGAACATTCTAGTCATTCAACCACAAATGCACATCGAGCACCTACTTAATGCCAGGCCCTGGGTTTGCAGTGGTGAATAACACAGGTACAGTCTTTACCCTCCTCATGGAGCTTCAAGTCCAGTAGGGGAGACAGACAAGTACCAAGGAGACACAAGTTAGATTTCCTAACACTGAAGGAGATAAATAGCATGTTGTGAGAGGCGATGATGACGTGTGCTACATGTGTGGACAGGCGGTGGGGTGGAGCAGATGTCAGTCACTGTGTCCAGAGAACCCCCTAAAGAAACAAGACTGTGAGTGAGACTCAGAGGAAGCAGCCAATGAAACAACAGCAAAGGAGCCCCCGGGTAGGACAAGTATAATTCCCAAGGCAGGAAGGAACCTGGTAACTTCTAGGAACTGGAAGGTTGTGGTGGGGCTACCCCAAAGTGAGGGGTGGGGTGTGGCAGGGTGGAGTCAGAGATGAAACCTTAAAAGCAGGCAGGACTCGGGGTACACAGGGCCCTATGGTCTGTGATAGGACATTTACTTTCTTCTAAGTGCTTGCCGTCCTAATTATTATTGTTCTTTTGGATCATGTTCTATTCTGAGATCATAATCCATTACTTTGGTTTTAAAATAACAGTTACAAGGCTCCAATCAAATACATTGTCATCAGTTAGCTCAAACAGAATAATACTTTGGCTAAATCATCGTGTTGAATAAAGCCCCAGTGCTGGACTAAAAGTTCTTAATGAATCTATAGAATGTCAAAGTGCAAAATCATAAAGTGATCAAGTGAATAAAACAGTAAGGATAAAGGACCAGCTTTATAAAAGCGGAGAGTGGAGGGAGTTACATGCTTTATGTGGACTATTTCACCAGCAACGTTTAGCAAAACATTCCACAGATTTAGGCAACCATGTCCACAGTAGCTGTTGTAAATCTAATCCAACATGTGAGGGGGCAGAAGGGCCGTACAGAGAGCTCAGGAGCACTGATTCCAAAAGCAGAAGGCCTTGGAGCAGAATCATCTGGGGTCCTTTCTAATCCCTTCAGCCACTCTCCTCAGCATTGCTATCAGCCACTGTACTGAACCCTGACTCCCCAACCGGGCATTTTGAGAAACACTGATATTGCAGAAGGATGAATGCGATGAGAACTAGATAATACAAAGAAAACATGACAAAATAAAACAACCAATAACCAAATGGAAGCCATTCTCAACAAGAAACTCTTACTTCCTGTGCTCATTAAATTATATACATCTCTACTCCCTCCCATTCTGAGAAAAGGCAGTTTAAGAGAATTGTTTATTGAGCTGAAAAAATCTTCTATTGGGAACCCTGCTAATAAAAATATTTTGAACACTTTGACCCTATAAATATTTATAGAACCAACAGACACAGTGATTTCAATATTCCTGGTGACATGACTAAGAGGATATAAGGTAAGAGAGAAAAAACATCCCCTTAGTCATTATTTGGATTGGATTATTTCAGTCTTATATTTCCTTTTTATCAGATACAGTAATGTACGCATACGAAACTACCAACAAAGTATACATGCTAATATACTTTTAGGAAAGTATCTTTTGGTTACTAGAAAGAACCATTCTTTGGTTAAGAATGACCTCTGGCTTTTGAACTGACCACAGCTTTAGTAGTTCCAAAGCTCATACTGACCCAGGGCAAGCACACTCTCCAGCTTCTTGGAAGACAGGTCAGGGCACAGTAATAGGATGTGATGAAGAGGTTGGTATTACTGGGAGATGGTTTAATTATAGGACATTTTTATAAAGAAATACTTTTTATTACTTTGAAGCATACCCTTAAATAGAACTAACTGCTAAATGTTTCCCCCCAAGTATCAATGATAAATAAAACAGATTATAATTGTAAACTTCATTTGCACAGTTAAAGAACTCCCACAGAGTTCCTGGAGCAGACCTTGGTTTCTGGAATACTGCAGTGTTTTTTCAATCTGAAAAGAAAAAACAAACTGCAAATCCATGCATCTTTTAAAACTTTCCTGAATTAAGAATGAGCAGCAATCAACTTGTGATATATAATTTAATTAAGAAAAATATACAATTTTAGATGTACAGTTCAATGAGTTTTGACAGATGTATTACACCCATGTAATTCCCACCACAGTCAAGACACGCAACACGTGCTGCACCGCCCGAGTTCTGCGGTGCCCTTTCACAGCCCATCTCCCGCCACCACCTTCAGGCTTGGCAGCCACCGGTCTGGTCTCTGTTACGACAGATTAACAGAACCGCACAGTGTGTACTGTTTCTGCCTCCTTTCACTCAGAATAATGCTTTGATTATTATTGATTAACAATACAGTTGTCAGTATCAGTACTTATTCCATATGGTTATTCCAAAGTTTGTTTATCCATTCATGTGTTGATCAATATTTGGAGGTTTGGCCAGGTTTTCAGCTATTAAAGTAAAACTGCTCTGAACATTTTTTAAAAGAATGAGTACCTGAAGTACAGACACTGAGATGGAGGTGTATCTTTAGTGTTCTCCAGCCAACCATTCCCTCAAATACTGCTTTATTTACGACACCAGCGATTCGAAAACTAGGGTTTTGAATGGACTTATGCATAGCTTAGGACTTGAGCCAGTAAGATCCAGGCAGAGCAAGGTAATGAAAATGATCTTCTTGTCTTTGTATATGTGAATATTAAGAAATATAAAGTGTACATATTTCTTTGTAGGATTGCTACAGTTTTCAAATATATTTCTAGTAGTAGAACCCTTTCTTCTAAAAAAAGTTTACTTAAATTGCAAAAAAGGAAAGAATGCTTTGCCAGAGGCATGAAAGAGGTGAGGGGAAGTAGGCTGGGGACAGGTGAGCACCTCGCCCGCCAGACAGCTCCCCTTTCAGGGCCCTGCAGGGCAGCTCTGTGGCAACCCATGGGGTAGGAAGAGAGAGCGGGAGGCAGATAGAAAAGTCATGACATTTAAAAATGTGAGACCTCTTGGAAAAGAAAAAACAGCTCTACACAAGCTCACCGGACACTTGTTGCAGGACTGACCACAGTGATTTTTGCTAGCGGTAACTTCACCATTTCCAAAAATAAAACCTGTAAGTGACCTGTCAATCTCCCCATCTTTCCCATCTGCAGAAGTAAACCCGTACTGCATAAATCATGCTAAAGTTAGTACAGCTTTCAATTTTCTCTACACTCAGAGAGGTGGAGCCCCTAGGCGTTCAGACTTCAAAGCCCTCGGACAGTCCTGTGTGAAAAGAAAGTGTGTCTGATACCAGCTTCCCAAACTCCCACCTACTAAGCAGCTTAGCTTCTAAGATTCCACCAGGGATGGACCTGCTCCATGCTTGGGGGGGGGGGGTTATTTTGGAGGAATTTTTCTCCAAGAAAACACCATTAAAAATATATGTAAGATATAAAACTTTTTTAATCTCACTTTTCCAACAAGTCTTTATTATTAGTTAAGACATGACTCAGAGTCCTAGGGTAGGATGTACCCAGGTCCCTCTTCACCTCCCTGGGAGAAGGATGGAGGACAGAGGACTGGGAAGGGGGGTACAGCCAGGTCAGGTCTTCCCAGGGAGCACAACTTCTGCCCAGTCGTCATTCCACGCTGACACTCGAGAGATGAGGCAGAGGGACTTGCACACATGCCTGTACCATTCTCACTCAGAGACATCATCCCTTTAGTAGTCATTGCCTTCTCACAACAGTGGATGTCCAGGTAGTTCCGCCAACAGTTCCTGGTCTGGTTCTAATTCGGGAAGCAGCTGGCAGAAGGGGCAGTCTGGGTGTGGTAGTTTTTGATTTTGGTCTTGATGTCTTCTGCCATGTTGCTCACTACTAAATCAGATGGCCCTGAAGCTGCTCAATGTAACCCTCAGCAGAGACCCATGATGCTCTTTTTTTAAAAAAAACAATCACGGGAGTGTAATTTGAGAGTACAATGGTCAGTTTTTATGTGTGACTTAAAATGACTAGTCTCATTAAGTGAGTCATGTCACTTTTCAAATACAGCCATCATTAAGAAATTTGGATTAACTAAATAATTCCAGCAAGTATCTAGATCAACAATGGCTACTACATTAAGAATGAATGTCAAAGAGGACAGACTCCTGCTATTTTCACTCAAATAGTCCATCGAAATAAAATGAGAATGTGTTCTCTAACTTGCTGGTGAGAGATCATCAGGCTTGGAGGCCTCTAGAAACAGAGCCAGGAGCTGCATGTTTCCTCAGGGGCTTATGTATATTTGTATATAAAAGAGAAAACCAAACCTTCTTTTCCTTTAAAATCTCCACAGAAACAAGATGCCATTTTTACCCATCTCCTCTCAAAAACTGTAAAAGATGGATAATTTTCATTGTAAGAGAGGATGAAGGATCCAGTTCTTTCATATGTGATCAGGAGGAGTATATTTGAAAAGGCATTTTTGGAAACCAATTTGGCAGCATCCACCAAAATGTATGTACATTTTGTCCAAGCAAACCCACTTCTAGGAAAGTAGCCTACAAAAATGCTTTCACAAATATATATGTACAGAAATTTTCATTACAGTGCTGCAAAAGTGAAAATTTGAAAACTGCCTAATCACCCACCAGAAGGAAACTGGCTGAAAAATCAAGTGCATGAATGCTATGGAAGCTGAAGCTAGCTAAGAAGATGAAAAAAAAAAAAAAACAAAAAAAAACTGCCCTGGCTGGTGTGGCTCTGTGGATTGAGCACAGGCCTGTGAACCAAAAGATTGCTGCTTCATCTCCCAGTCAGGTCACATGACTGAGTTGCAGGCCAGGTCCCCAATAGGGGGCGCACGAGAGACAACCACACAGTAATGTTTCTCTTCTTCCCCTTCTCCTTCCTTTCCCCTCTGTCTAAAAGTAAATAAGTGAAAACCTTAA